TTTAAGAGCTCTAAACTGAACTGACTGATAAGACGAGAGCTCTAAACTGACACTGAACTGACTGCCAAGCAATCAGTCAGTCAGTCAGTCTCATCAGTTTGGATTGATTGTTAGCAACTCTGATTACGGAACCTCCGCAGACGTCGGTGTGGAGTTCATCTCAGCAACAAGCTCTGCCACCACGGACTCACTCTACCAAACAGAGCGCGTCAAGACTCAGCCACTTTGGAATCGCAAAGATGGTAATCTCGCTAAAGTCGTGCCTACTGTCGACATTGCGCATGCTCTACAACCCAACGAGACCGATGCTGCGACAGGGTTGCGTAAGCCGATCATGGCTATCCAATGCACCACATTGTCAGATGGTGGTTTTGTCCTCGCTGCCAAAACGGCGCATCCTTTCGCGGACATCACGAGTCTCATCCGCTTCGTCAAGGACTGGGCGAGCGTGAGTAGTGCCGTCATCAAGGGCCTGACCGCCCCAGCCTTGACTTCCGTCTTTGAGCCGGCGCGTTTGGACAACCTCGCTGCAGGAAACATCAACGCCGAGGAGCCGGACCCGGCCATTATCAGTCGAACGGAACGTCTGCCCTTGCACAGGTACGACTGGTGGGCTGCACCAGGAAAGCCTCCCACGCCATTCCTTGATGCGGCCAAAGTGGTGTCACCAGCAGGCAAGCCTATGCCATGGGCTGAGTGGGATTCTAATGCGCCTGTTTCAGACTACACCATTCATCTCAACACAAAGCAGGTCGATTTTCTCTTCAGCGAAGCCACGAAGGGTACTGACGGTAATGGCCCGAGAATCAGCAGGCATGATGCCGTGTTGGCACACATCTGGTCCTGCATTGTGCGCGCACGTCAACTCGGGAAGGATGACGGCCCTGTCCATTGCGATCTTGTACTTGGCCTCCGATCCGCTTTCAATTTGGGTGAAGACTTTCTGGGTTCCCCGATCATCATGATGAATATTGAGCTGCCAGGCTCTGAAGTTGGCTGCGAACAAACAAGTAACGCTACTTCAGCAATAATTGCCATCACCCGAAAGATTCGGCATACGATCTCCACTGTCAGCGACCCAGCGAATCTCGCAGATCATTCCCATAGCGCCGCATATGAGAAGTCTCCTCAGCGTATATGGCAGGCATTCCTTGGCCGGCGTCATATTCTGGTGACAACCTGGGCGCGTGCCGGCATCTACGATGTTGACTTCGGTCTTGGCTCGCGCATACGATACGCGGACGGCATCGTGCCGAACTTAGACGGTTGTGTTCTCATTAAAGAAGCACCCCCACCTTCAGGACTGTTTTTGTCTGAATCTCGGCTGTCTTGAACCGGCAGAGGGGTGGACATCTCTATCCATATTTGCACTGAGGATATGGAGCGATTAGTGAAGGATCCTTTGTTACTGCCGCGTCTTGATTAGATAGAATTAATAATCCATGGGACAGATAACCTTACGTGAGGGGACGGTTAGGTGGTAACCTTCGTCACGAATGGAATTTTAGAAAGTCTTTACTGAACTAGACACTCGTTGCGCCCTGATGGCATTTTGGCGCTTCATTGAGCATTTGGAAGGATTCATGTATCTATCGAGCCACGATAGCGTCCTACTGTTACAAGCAACAAAAGGAACTCCACCCTTGATGAAGGAGTCGGGGCTGAACGCCAACCGACGACCACGTCAGAAGGTAACGATCACCGCGGGGCGATGATCACGTGACTGGCCTCACGCCAAGGA